TATATAATTTTTATATTAATTTTAATCAAATTTTATATAATAAAATTTAAGAAATAATAATTCAAAAAAGTTTATATAGTAAAATTTTTTTTATAAAAGATATATAATAAAAATTTATATATTTAAATAAATTTCAATATTTAATAACTTAATTAAATAAGATAAAATTAAAATTTTATTTTGAAAAAATAATTTATTAATATTTATCTAATATATTAATCTTTTTATATTAGATTATATTATTATTATTTAAATTATTGATATAAGTTTAAAATTTTATATAAATATAAATTATTATTAGATTTATAATCTTTAAATTTAAATATTTATAAAAATTTTATTTTTAATATTATTTAATATAATTTTAAATAATAATCAGAAATTTTATAAGTTTAATTATTTATAATTTCGATTTTTAAAAATAATTAAATTTTTTTATAATTATATCTTAAAATTATAATTTTATAATTATTTTTTTTTGAATTTTTTAATTATTAATAAATTATAATTAAAAAAATCTCTAGTTATATTTTTTTATAATTATTCAATTTTATTTTTTTAAGTATAATAATTATAAAAAGATTTAATTATATTTTTAATTTTATTTTAACTAATTTTATTAATTATTTTATATATATTATTTCATAATTTAATAAAAATAATAAATATTTTATTAATATATTTATATTTTAAATTAGAAATTAATTTATTTTCAAATATATTTTAAATATATTAAATATATATTAAATATATTAAAACTTATTAAATAATCTTATCTTTTTTTTAATAAATACAATCAGATCTTTCTAGTTACTACATTTGAAAAAGCAAAATTAGATAACTAAAAAGAGATGTAATATAGAGATTTATATATATTTTAAATATATTAAAATATATATTAGATATATTTTTCATTTATTAAATATATTTATAAATATTTCAATATAAATTTATCTAATAAATATATAAAATATATTAATATATAAATTAAATATATATATTTGATATATCAATAAATTATTGAATATATTATTAAATTTAAGATATATTATTGAATTTATTAAATACATCAAATCCATTATTTATTTTTATGACACATCTATATTTATTATATTATCTGAAAAATAGAAATTATTATAGAATACATGAAAAAATAATAATAATAGATCACAAAAATCAAAAAACTTTTATTTTTTATTTTGATTATATTGAAGATGAACTTGTAAAAAAATGGTTATTGATATTTTAATTAAAATCTTTATAAATTATATAAAAGAATTAATTTATTTACATAGTTTAATTTAGTTTACTGTTTATTTTATAAATTATAAATTATAAATTATATAAAAGAATTAATTTATTACATAGTTTAATTTAGCTGGTTATTTTATAAATCTATCCTTATTACATTATATAAATATGGGATTAACTTTTATAATATAAATATAAGTTGGTAATATAATATCGACTTGTAAAAAGTAAAATTCAAATATAAATACTGCATCTTTGGAATTCATTTAATTTTTTTTGAATAATAGTCCATCACTTAACGGGTTTAAAAAGTGGAAATGTTGATTTACTTTAGAGGAAAGTTTACCATGAGAAAACTCTCATGCGAGTAATATACTGTTCATCATTTATGATATTTTTAGCAAAAGGGATGCAATTAAAGTTTTGTGCATATCGATGTTATGTATCTATATGTCGCATTATTTTGAAAAAGCATTTCCTTCTCGTAGATAAATAAAGTGATAGTTTATTTTAATAGATATCCATCACTTTTATTGCGTGCAAAACTATAACCAAGAAAAAACTTTTTTGTCATTTTCGATTCTACATTCTCTCTAGATTTCTCCGCCTTTTTTCAGACAACTCTCACGCCTTCTTTCAGATATGTAAACAATGATGTGTCAACTTCATATATATACATAAGTTTTCTTAGCATTCATTCATTAAATCCCCAATTAGCATTGAGCAAACAAAAATGATGTTTATACAAAGAAAATTAGTCATGGTTTATATTTATCATCATTCCTGCAGTCTTATCTCATTCAAAGAATAATGCAAAATCAACATTTTGGCAAATAAATAAAATAATTGATCGTGAATAAATGTGCGAAAAAATGTGATAGATCTTTATTATCGTTAAGCAAAGCATATGCCTTTGCCGCAAATGATAAACAAATAAAACAAAGCAAATAAATAAGCTATGTTTACCTAATAACAACAATTACACATACATACATACATATGCGAAAATCATCACCCCGGTGATGCGGAGCTACGTCTCACCGTTAATAATGGGGGTGAGTTCAGAATAAAGCTTATACGTGTCTTTTGTTTGATCTATTTTTACTTCAGCATGACCAAACATTTCGAGGCCGCACTACCGCGCCACGATAATTCCGGATGTGCCTCAAGTTCATTTGCATCCGTTCTTTAAAGCATTATTTATTATATTAAGCAACGCAAAAATAAAAAAGATATTTTTTTCCCATTAATGGAGATCTCACCTTATTAATATGCGAAATTAAATCGGGAAGTGCGCGTGTCGATCGCCTATTTTCAAATCATACTGACAAATAATTACCTGTCCATCGAAAATAAGACGATATTTTTTACTCTTTAGGCTATTCCAAATAACATAAAACTAAATTCGACGCATTTTTTCCAAACCTTTCAAAAATTAACAACGGATGAACACACACACCACCGATCGATTTTCTTTTCAAATACACAAACACGCCCCACAAATCAAGATAATGCATAACGGAAAAACAACTAGGTAAGCATCTTATATTTTGTGATTGTGCTTCGATTATTTTTTTTTTTACCTTAGATAGCGCCTTATAATCAAAGAAAATTTTTATTATTGAACAAATATATATGTATATACCATAAGTTAATTGAAGAAAAGAAAATCGAACTATGAAAGTCTAACAAAATAAAAAAATTGTCCTTAAATGAGGACAAACTTAAGTTCTTATATGGTGGTGATGCCAATGGGTAGAATATATATATATAAGTATGATAAAATAAAAATTCGGTGCCCAATATGAGGGCTGAGTTTGTTTTGAAGGATGAATGATGAAGGATGAATGATGAAGGATGAATGATGAATGATGAATGATGAATGATGAAATAAAGTAATGGCATTATTCTGTCATCACTGAGCGACGAATGACGAAAACGTAAAATGTAACGAAAAGAGATGTGGTAATAGTAGGACATATAAAAAATGGAATGAATGTTAATAAGAAATATGAGTCTGATCTTTTGGCGGAGTTTGTTTGCAAGTAAAGAGTAATGGATTGTTATTTATAGGTGCGAACGTATTCGAGAAATAAAAAGCGTAGAAATATAACTTAGAAGGCAGTGTGAAAGAAAAGGTAAATTCTTGAATAAATGTCAATGTTAGCATAAAGGATTACTTGTCAAACAAACTCTCCAATTTATCCAACGGACAGATGTAATTTGTTACGAATTGTGTGATTTGCTGTGCTGTGACGAATTACAACACATCCACTCCACCTGCTCCACTATATCCACTTCTCTTAACAGTGACTTGATTACGAGGTGGCGAATCAGCAATGCTATCGATAACCATACTATCACCTGAACGCTCGGGCACAGGCGAAGCGGGAGAAAGTGGTAGATGATGTTGATATTCAATAATGTCATATGACTGTGCGTTTATCTTGATAATATCCATAATTGTTCCGATTGGCCCTAAGAGACGAACGAAAGCTTCGCGTTTAAGAGCCACGAGCTTAACTGATCCTTTGGCATAGACTGTAGCCCTACGTGGCTTATCTTCAATAAGAGCGAGTTCTAATTAAAAAGAACATAATTGTCAATTTTATTAATTTTTTTTAAAATAGTACAAATGGGCGAAATTCTTACCGCCAAAATATTGTCCGTCTGAAAGGGTTGATAAACAATGGCTGGTGCCATTTTCATATTCTTTCCAGACCTCGACGTGACCTCTCTCAATAATGTAAAAATACTCTCCAGGATCGCCTTGTTTAATGATGCGATCACCATTTCTATATTCTATCGGTTCTAATGCATCTGCAAGTTTACTAATCTCAGGCGGATGAAGATCTTTAAAGATACTAATAGATCTCAAAAATTTCTCATAGCTTTTTCTTTTGTGATCTACATAGGTAGCAATCGTACTGAGAAAAGTTTTTCTATCTACGGCCCAAAGAGTGCCATCTGTGATTGCTCTTACGGTAGCTGCTCTTCGTGTCTATTTTATCAATAACATAGAGACAAGATGAATTAATGGATTTGTTGTTTACATATTATCGAATGTAAACAATAATAACACTTTAATACAATAATTACATTATACATGAGAGCAAGTTCACCAAAGCTCCCGCCGTCAGCGACCGTAATGACTGGACGATCATTTACTAATATTTCGAACATACCGTGAGTAACAACATAGAAATTATCACCTTCCTCTCCTTGTTGAATAATAATTTGATCTTTTTTAACGGGCTTTACGAACATGGCATCCAACTAGGTAAAAAAAAATCACTTCAATTACTAAATTATATGCTATTATTATTCCTAAATTTATTATTAATTTTATATAGCTACTTACTACTTTATCTTTGATTTCCTTATCCAAATTACGAAAGAGCAGGTTATTTTGAGTAGCTTCTTCGATTTGTCTCTTTGAGAGCGCATCTTTCGGGTACACTGGGAGCTTACTACAATGTTCCGGATTGATCGATTCGGCGCTAACAGAGTTACGACGCATATTTTTGTAAACTGGAGTATGATTGTGAAAACGAGAAGAAAGTCGGGGAGTTGTATTGTTGTTAGGTGATGATGAGCTGGCTAAAGAAGGATGCCCTTGGCTCTGATTCTCCTCGTTGAACGATTGTAATAACGACGTGGACGGGTTCGGATAAGGAAATGAAGAAGAAAATGAAGTATTGCTCCTTCTAAACAAAAGAAAAATTAGATGAATATATAATACATTGATGTATTGTTAATTATGCAAAAAAAATACACACTGTTCTTCGTCTGCCCTTTGTCGCTTCTTGCTCAACCCGTCTAAATAATGATAACGATAATAATTATAAATATGGTTTGGAATAATTTGCTTCTAAAAAATATTTTCTTTTGAATTTGAAAGAATACTTACTTGGAGTCTTGGGTTTTGGCGGATTGTTGCGCTGGCTATTTGTGATTGAATCCGCATATTCGGAATATAAATTCTTTTAAATGGAAAAAAAATAGGTTTGCGTATTTTTAGGTTATAATATAAGAGTATAGCGTAATGAGAAATTTTGAAATGGGAATTCGAAAGTAGGTAAAGATAATTTGTTAATAATAAATTATAGGACGATGAATTTTTTCAAGTTGGGTAGTACAATACAAAAAACGGTTTCAGAAATAAAGCGGCCAAAAAAGAATTGTAATAATAGGGATGTGTTATGTAATAAAAAAGATATGGAAAGATTAGATATAATTCGGATGAATGATATAGTGTAAACAGGCGGGCAAGTAATATGCAGTGCAGGGAATAACACTGACTAACAATAATAAAAAGGCGTGTTTATGTTTTAAAAACGAAAAAGGTAAAATTCTAACAAAACTAATTTTTTTATGATAAAAAAAATGAAAATATGTTTTTATTCCTTACCCAGAATTGAAACGGTTCATTCGATTCCCTCTTCTTCTGTTGAACGGCGTTTAAACAACCGATTGCAAGGGCCACAGGGTCGGTGGGTTTGTTTTGAAGCAGCACACCTTTCAACTCATCGCACATGCGCACCACAAGATCATAGTAACTTGTTTCGATGTCTTGCATGCTCGTGCGCTCTTTTCAATTTTTGGCTTTTTTATGTATGTAGTATACGTGTGAGTCTTTCTTACAATAAGTGCTTTTGAGAGAGTCTCAAATGACCTTTGTTTGAGATTAAAAGTCTCTATCAAATGGAAATTGGAAATGGGAAAAAGGAAAGGAACGGAAAGGACAAGAGGTATTAAGAAAAAGTACAGTAATAACTAATAAAACTTTCAAATTTCTCGTTATTATCCCTGTAGAAAATTTTGAAAATTTATGATGTTGATTTTCTGATGATGTGATGATGATCTCTAAGGGAGTCTGATGATGGTAAGGTAAGGAAATAGTAGTAAAAATACTACTAATGAAAATAAATAATAAATTTATTTTAGCTTCTAATGGACAAACACTTTTAGTAGTAGTAGTATTATTTTATTAATATTATTACAAAGATTATCTAATAAGTATATATAATTTTTTTCTTTGGAAAGGATGACTGATGAGCTTGAAAAGGTGGGCTGCCTGATTTTTACCGAGGTGACACGTAAAATATAATTTAAATTCAGAGAGGAGGAAGACGCGCAGTTAGCAAGCGTAAACTTTCGAAAAAGTCGCGTTCTCAATGTCTTTATAACAAAATATTGATTTATTAAATAAAAAAAAATATGTGTGAGAAAATAGAAATAACAATATTGTGTATGTATATATGTGTGCATGTGTATATAATACTATTTCTAGTTACTATTACTGCAACTATACTACTTACTCTACCATCACTTACTGGCAATTAACGGATAGATATCACGATAACTCAAACACATACACGATTTATTGATTTATTCACTGCAGTAAGTATCGTAAATAGTAAGTAAACTCAAAACTCTAAAAGCAGAGATGAACAACATCAGCACAGCTTGTAATTACTACGACGAAGCAGATTGGAACGCCGAAAAAGACAGCCCTGGTTTTTTTTGGCATATTTCGAATGTCATCTTACCAGTTTAGGAAGATGGGATGCACGACTTTCGCTGTCTCCTAATGCAACACAAACACGCATTCCATAAGTATCTTACAGATTTATAGGATAAGATACCGATTAAATACAAATAGATTACCATGCATTTAATGCGTCCATTCATCCATTTTTTTGACGAGACGACCACGACCACGACGACGACGCAAAGCCACATGAAACAAAATATTGTTTCATGATCGATGGAAAATTAATAAAGTTTATTTAAAAATTAAAATGAAAAATAATAATAATAATAAAGATAATATAATGATGATGATGATGGTGATGATGATGATGATGATAATAATAATAATAATAATAATAATAATAATAATAATAATAATAATAATAATAATTATCATCATCATCATCATCATCATCATCATCATTATCATCATCATTATTATTATTATTTTATTATTATTAATTAATGATTTGAACGCGACTACACTGTAGCACTCTAGGAATAATAATTAGTAATTAATAAATAATAATTAATAATTAATAATTAATAATTAATAATTAATATTAATAATAATAATAATAATAATAATAATAATAATAATAATAATAATAATAATAATAATAATAATAATAATA